CTTTACAACATATTTTTTGAATCCCCTTGAATCCCATGGTTTCGTCTTTTTGTAAATTTCGCAATTTGATTGGTTGAATAATCCCGTAGTGATAATTTGACTGGTCGATACAATGAGTGATCTGTGTAACGAGAATAAAAATCATAGGACGTTTCCTCCTGTTCAAAATAGCAATGATCTGAAACAATTGACTAAAAAGGAGATAACAGACAGTCCAAAGCTTATTTAAGTACGTAAGTATAAGCAAATTGAATACTGCTTCCAGGATAAAATACCCTTCGATAGTACATTTAATGCTGATTTTTTAGACGTCGATAAGTGTCTAGGAACATATCAGTAAGCAATAAATATTAAATTATAAATATAGTGTATAGTATTTAAATAATATACGTACGCACTGTATGTCAATAATCTTTTCATATATTAGATATAGTCAGTATGTCAAGTAAAAAAGGTTGGAAAATCTGCGTTAATCTTTCATAAAGTAACCAAAATGGTTTATATTTTTTTAAATCACATTATTAACAATTTTAATAAAACGTTTTCATATTGATAATTCATAAGATTCTCTTGATGAAATTGTCAAAGAGCTGTGCAACCTTTATGACGAAGAAAGAGCACGAGGCAACAATGTAGAATCAATTCTCGACAAAATGGACCAATTTTTAATAAAATATCAACAAGAACCGGATGATATTATCAACTATTGCCTTAATGATAATGACAATTCTACGATTCAAATTATTCTTGCAGGTTGCTATAGGTTTGGCAAATGGATTGGACAAAATGAACATAAGGCATTTATTTGTTGTCAAAAATCTGCAGATATGGGGCATGCAAATGGAACTTATGACCTTGGATATTGCTATTATTGTGGAATTGGTGTCAAAAAGGACGAACACATGGCACTCATTTGCTTTCAAAAATCCGCAGATTTGGGAAATTCTGATGGAATGCGTACTGTTGGTCTTTTTTATAACAATGGTATTGGTGTTAAAAAAGATGAACATAAGGCATTTATTCACTACCAAAAATCTGCTGACATGGGAAATGATAAAGGAATAGAAGATGTTGGACATTGTTACCAAAATGGAATTGGTGTTGAAAAAGATGAACATAAAGCATTCACTTATTTTCAAAAATCCGCTAACATGGGAAACCCAAATGGAATGAACGCCCTTGGATTTTGTTATCAAAATGGAATTGGTGTTGAAAAGGATAATCATAAAGCATTTGTTTGTTATCAAAAGTCAGCAGATATAGGGCATGATAAAGGAATCTATAATATTGGATGTTGTTATCATAATGGTATTGGAGTTGAAAAAGATGAATGCAAGGCATTTAATTATTATCAAACCTCCGCTGAAATGGGATTTGTTGATGGAATGATTCAAGTTGGTAATTGTTATCGGAATGGAATTGGAGTGGCAAAAGATTTACAGAAGGCGCTAATTTATTATCAAAATTCTGCTAAATTGGGTAAGGCCCTTGGAATGAACATAATTGAGTTTTGTTATCATAATAGAATCGAAAAGGACGAACATAAAACATTCATTGACTACCAAAAATTGGCTGAAATGGGTAATGCTTTTGAAACGTTTATGGTTGGTTATTGTTATGAAAATGGTGCAGGTATTAAAAAAGATGAATATAAAGCATTTACTTATTATAATAAATCTGCAGAAATGGGAAATCCTGACGGAATTTTCAAAGTTGGTTATTGTTATGATAATGGGATTGGAGTCGAAAAGGACAACCACAATGTGTTTATTTATTATCAAAAATCCTCTGAATACGAACATGTTGATGGAATATATAAACTTGCGTGTTGCTACCATGAAGGTATTGGAATTAAAAAAAATGAACATGAGGCTTTTATATATTATCAGAAATCTGCCAGTATGGGTTATGCTGAAGGAATATTTGCTGTTGGTTTTTGCTATCATAATGGTGTTGGCGTCAAAGAGGACACGTATAAGGCATTTATCTATTATCAAAAGTCTGCAGAAGTAGGGAATCCTAATGGAATCTATCAGGTTGGCTATTGTTATCAATATGGTATAGGAATTGAAAAGGATGAGAGTAAAGCATTTATTCATTATCAAAGATCTGCTGAGATGAAAAATGCTCGTGGAATGTATCGAGTTGGTTATTGTTATCAATATGGAATTGGGGTTAAGAAGGATAAAGATAGGTCATTTAATTATTATAAAAAATCTGCTGATATGGGTGATTGTCTCGGAATTTTTGGTCTTGGCGAATGTTATTTGGATGGAATTGGAGTTGAAAAAGATGAATATAAGGCAATTGTTTATTATCAAAAGTCTGCTGAAATGGGAAGTCCCGAAGGAATTCATCAGGTTGGCTATTGTTATCAAAATGGTATCGGTGTTGAAAAAGATGAATATAAAGCATTTGCCCATTACCAAAAATCTGCTGATATTGGAATCTTGGCCGGAATTTTTCAAGTCGGTTATTGTTATGATAACGGAATTGGAATTGAAAAAGATGAGCATAAAGCGTTCATTTATTATCAAAAGTCTGCTGATATGGGTTATATTGATGGAATATATAATGTCGGCTTTTGTTATTATAATGGCATTGGAGTCGAGAAGGATAATCATAAAGCATTTAGATATTTTTTAAAATCTGCTACTATGGGACACGTTGCCGGAATGTATTTAGTTGGTGAATGTTATCGAAATGGAACTGGAATAACAAGAAATATACAAGATGCACAATATTGGTATCAAAAGTAATAGATCTATTATTTATTTTTATTTTTATTTTATTATGCATATTACATGTTTAATAATAGCATTCAAACCAAAATTTAGGGAAAGAACTTTAACATCAGGTAATACTATTAGAGCTTTTATGCATTTATAACAGTACAATTATCCGGTAGTAACTATTGATCATGTTACTCATATTAATACTATATCACGGTATATTAATATTTATTGCATTTCTTTTTTTTGATTATATATCTATTTTCTTGCTTTTGCCAAAAATCGCTGGCTAAAAAAAAAAAAAAAAAAAATATGATAAAGTAAACCTCATGGCTAATAAACTAATGAAATAGATTGTTTTTAAATAAAAAATAAGAACATGGAATAAACGATTTAGCGTTATGGATTAATATGAGTAACATGATCAATGAACACTCCCGGATATTGTCGTTATCAGGTAGAGTGTAGATAACTTTGTGCCAGCATCATTTAGCTTGACTCAGATTATGCCGTGAAGCGGCATAATCTGAGCCAACAAATGGTCGCTAAATAACGCTGCCCAGTATTACCTACATTCTACCTGATAACTATTAAATAAACAGTAGAAATAATTAGATCCGCCAATACATGTATTAATTTTGAAGTTAATTCTTTAGTGACAAATAACTTGTTGCATAAAAACTCCGACATTGATGATGATTTGAAGAAATTATTAGTTGAAAATAAATTTCAATTGACATGGATCCCTTATAACAATTTTGAGGATATTAAAATGATCGGAAAAGGTGGATTTGCAACAGTGTATTCGGCAAGATGGATTAATAAAGATTTAAATTTTAGTAGAACTGTTGCGCTCAAATTAATCCGCGATTCAAAAAGTTGTAGCGGAGAATTCATAAATGAGGTAAGTTTTTTAATATTTTGATATATTATCAATGATTTTTTAATATCTATGAATAATGGTTCATTATTAATTGAATTTATTTCCTTTTAATAATTAGTTAAATGCATATTGCGATATCGGTCTTAAAGATCCTACCTTTTTGAAATGCTTTGGTATATCAAGAGATATTTCTTCTAAAGATTATATCCTTGTGATTGAATATGCTTCTATGGGTTCTTTGCGTAAAAATCTTTATAATGTCTCACAAATGGAATGGAAAAATAAATTAGATCTGTTAAATTGTGTTGTTAATGACCTTCATATAATTCATTCACATAATCTTATTCATCGAGACTTACACAGTGGAAATATACTACTAAATGACTTTCATAGTGCATATATTGCAGATTTAGGATTTTCAACATTGGCTAATTTAGGATCTTACAATGAAGTATGTGGCATAATTCCGTATATAGCACCTGAGGTATTATACAACACAACATATAGTGCAGCATCCGATGTATATTCTTTTGGTATTATTGCATATGAAATAGTATCAGGGCTTTTGGCATATCATAATATTCCACATGATATAAATCTTATGAATGTCATCTATAAAGGTTTAAGACCAAATATTCCAACACATGTACCAAAGCCAATTGCTGAATTGATCATTAAATGCTGGGATGCTAAGCCAGAAAATAGGCCATCTTCTGCGAAATTATTTGAAATTATAAGTGGATGGAATGAAGAAGTCTTAAAACAAAGTCCTAACGAATTCAATACGCAAATTAAAAAGGCTGACGAAGATCTTGAAAAGCTTTTGACGTCATCACTGCCTCATATAGAAATACATTCTGAAGCAATCTATTCCAGAAGACGATTCACTCCTTTAAGTATTACGAGTTCTTATAAAATAATTAATTGTCAAGGTGACCATTGTATTAGTTATTACACCATTTAATTCGTCTTAGCAGTTTTTCTAACGATTTTGCGCCCTAAATTAAAGATATTCAAAGAAAGGAGAATGTAGATTATGTTGAAAAAGATAATCGAAAGACGTCGCCTCATATCAAGATACAGCCTGATGCAATATTTAATAGAAGACAATCTATTCCTTTAACCATGACTAGTCCTGATAAAAAGATTAATCATTTAGGTAACCATTTTGTTGCAATTTCTATATGTAATATTTAATTTTACTTTGTGGCAAATCTAAAGATTATAACATCACCAATAAAGATAAACAAGAAAATGTTGAAAGTTCACTCGTTCTACAAGATGTAATTAATATTGAACAAGATAATGGAAAGATATCTACTCGCGTTGAAATACATTCCAAAACAGTATTTAATAAAAGTCGATTGGTTTTTTTAAAAATCGAAAATTCTAGTGAAAAACGTAACCAATTAGGTAATAATTATTTCTTTAGTGAAATTGTCATAAATGGTTATTTTAATATTTTAACGCTAGTAATATCGTAATTAAAGGTAACCAAAATAAGGGAGAAAATAGCGAAAGCTTACTCATTCCACATGTAGTTGATGATGAAAAAGATGAATGTAAAACATCCTCCTATTCTCAAAAATTTATTGAAACAGAAAATGCTGTCGAAATATTTAATCTTGGTAATTGCTATCTTATTGGGAATGGAATCGATAAAGATGAACATAAAGCATTCACTTATTATCAAAAATCTGCTGAGATAGGAAGTTCTGATGGAATGTATATGGTTGGCTATTGTTATGAAAATGGAATTGGCATTGGAAAGGATGAATCTAAGGCATTTATTTATTACCAACATTCTGCTAATAAGAAAAATTCAGATGGTGTTTGTCAGGTTGGATTTTGTTATGAAAATGGGATTGGTGTTGAAAAAGACGAATATCAAGCATTTATTCATTATCAAAATTCTGCTGAGTTAGGGCATGCTGATGGTTTATATAATCTTGGGTATTGTTATTATAATGGAATTGGGGTCGAAAAAGACGAATATAAGGCATTTATAAATTATCAGAAATCTGCTGAGATGGGACACGATGGTGGAACATATAGTCTTGGTAGTTGTTATTATAAAGGGGTTGGTGTTGAAAAAGATGAAAAGAAAGCAATTATTTATTTTCAAAAGTCTGCTGATATGGGTAATTCTTATGGGATGCTTAGCCTTGGTTTTCATTATCAAAATGGAATTGGAGTAGAAAAAGATGAACATAAAGCATTCATTTATTGTCAAAAATCCGTTGTGATGGGAGATTCTCTCGGATGTTTTATGCTTGGATGTTATTATGAAGACGGAATTGGTGTTGAAAAAGATGAACAGAAGGCATTTATTTATTATAAAAAATCTGCAGAAATGGGAGAAGCATATGGAATGTTTATGGTTGGTAGATGTTATGAAAGTGGAATAGGCGTTGAAATAGATGAGCATAAGTCGTTGATTTATTATAATGAATCTGGACTTAAGCAATACAATGGTGGAATCGAAATTACAATGGACGAAAATGGGTTAAACATTTATCGTGAAAAGTCCGGTGAAATGATTTATGCTAATGAAACATATAAAGTTGGCTATTATTATCAAAATGGAATTGGAATCAAAAAGAACGAGCACAAGGCATTTATAAATTATAAACGTTCTGCTGAGTTGGGTGATTCGGATGGAATATTTGCACTTGGCAATTGCTATTATAACGGAATTGGGGTTGAAAAGAATGAACGTAAAGCATTTATCCAGTATCAAAAATCTGCACAAATGAATCATGCTGATGGAATATATAATCTTGGACAATGTTATATGAATGGAGTTGGTGTTGAAAAAGATGTCCAAAAGGCGTTTCTTTGTTATCAAAAGTATACCAATATGGGTAATCTTGGAGCAATATATGAAATTGGTAATTGTTATCTAAATGGGATTGGTGTTGAAAAGGATGAGCATAAAGCATTCATTTATTACCAAAAATCCGCCGAAATGGGGGATACCCGTGGAATTTCTATGGTTGCTAAGTGTTATGAAAATGGAATTGGTGTTGACAAGGACGTGCATAAAGCGTTAATTTATCTCCAAAAATCTATAGAATCTGAAAATAGGAATGAAAACTATTACTATAAACATTATACAGATTCTGGCAAAATTGTATGTGATAATGAAGCTCATGAGGCATATTTAATTGGCTGTCGCTATGATACTGTAGAAAAGGATGAAAATAAAGCATTCATTTATTACAAAAGAGCAGCAGAGATGGGTGATACTGATGGATTGCTAGCACTTGGAAATTGTTATCGAAATGGAATTGGAGTTGAAAAGGATGAATATAAAGCATTTATTCAGTATCAAAAATCAGCACAAATTGGAAATGTCGAAGGAATATTTAATCTTGGACAGTGTTACCTATATGGAGTTGGGGTTAAAAAGGATGAACATAAAGCATTTGTAAACTATCAAAAGGCCGCAGATATGGGTAACCCACTAGCAGTTTGTGTGATTGGTAATTGTTATCAGGATGGAATCGGCGTTGAGAAAGATGAGCATAAAGCTTTTAAATTTTTTCAAAAATCGGCTGAGATGGGTCATGCCGAAGGAATATATAATCTTGGTGTTTGTTTTGATAGGGGACTTGGTGTCGAAAGCGATATACATAAAGCATTCTTTTATTATCAAAAGTCTGCTGAAATGGGTGATGCTAGTGGTACATATAACCTTGGTGTTTGTTATCACTATGGAATTGGAGTTGAAAAGGATGAACGTAAAGCATTCGTTTATTACGAAAAATCTGCAGCGATGGGAAATCCTAGTGGGATGTTTAATGTTGGCTCTTGTTATGAAGACGGCATTGGTGCTGAAAAAGATGAAAATAAAGCTTTTATTTATTATAAAAAAGCAGCAGATATGGGAGATGCCAATGGAATGAATAATCTTGGTAATTGTTATGAAAATGGAATTGGAGTTGCAACGAATAAGCATATGGCATTTATTTGTTATCAAAAGTCTGCCGAATTAGAGAATGCTGTAGGAACTTATAATGTTGCTGAATGTTACCTGAATGGAGTTGGTGTTGAAATAGATAAATATAAAGCATTTATGTACTATAAAAAGTCTGCTGATATGGGTTATTCTGGAGGTGCATTTCAAGCTGGTTATTGTTATGATAACGGAATTGGTGTTGAAAAAGATAAACATAAGGCAATAATCTATTATCAAATGTCTACTGACATGAGTTCTAATTATTAATTTATTAAATATAATTTGTAAAGTCTACAGTTTGTAGAATACGTAATTAGCATAAAATATCTTGCTAATTATTAATTTAACAAAGCTATTAAATGTTGGCAGTAAAATCACTAGACAGTAATTTATAATTTATAACTAGGCGCATGAGTTGCTAAAGGGAGTTAGAACGAGTAGGTGTATTGTATTGTATTGGTATAATGTGGTTTC